GGAGAGCATAGACAACCCTTTTGAGTCTTATTGTAAAGAGGAGCAAGAAAGAGCAGCTAGAGGGTAGTGGGGTTAAGAGGTTCAGTTGGTTTGTTTTGAATGAGAAGTCACAGCATGCTGATGAGAATGGTTCACTAGAAAGTGAAAAATTGCTGTTGTAACTTGCCGTTTCCCCAAAGCTCCATTTTCGGCCACTTTTGCCATCAGAACTTCCTGCAGGCATCCCTGCTCTGGCTCCAGCCTCCTCTGGACCTCAGCTTTCACTTATTGCTCTGACAGCCACACTCCACTTCCATGGCAGTTTCCTGACAAGGACTGTGTGTTTTGTGTAGACCTCACTGGCCACTCGGCATATGAGTGGATGTAGTAATAGGTTGGATGCTCGTTTCATTTCTCGAAAGTGAATTCTCAGTATTCACTGGTTTTTGTATGTGCTGAGCAGATGGGGGATGGAGTGAGGAATGGGGCACAGTTCCAGCCCTGTCACTACCCTTAGGATATAAGAATATTATAAAAGACATACAGCATTGGTGCAAACATGAGTTTGGAAAAGGGCACGGTGAGTGTGGACAGGGGGGTTGGAGGAGAAGCCTGGATTTTGTGTGGAGCCTGGAAGAGCGGAGGCCATGTTAAAAGGAGGGAAACTTCTTTTCAGAGGTATAATCCTTATTTTTAGTGAAATACAACGAACCCAGTATTCACCAGCACTGCTTCGTTAGCCCTCTCCTTTGGCACTCCCAAGCCTCTGACCAGTTTCAAAACTCTTGAGGCAGAATCTAGGTTTCTTTAAAAAAAAAAAAAGTTTTTATTGATATTTTTAAAGAGAGAGGAAGAAGGGAGAGGAATAGAGAGTTAGAAACAGCCCTAATCGGTTTGGCTCAGTGGACCTGCGGACTCAAGGGTCCCAGGTTCAATTCTGGTCAAGGGCATATACCTTGGTTGTAAGCACATCCCCAGTGGGGGTTGTGCAAGAGGCAGCTGATTGATGATTCTCTCTCATCGATGTTTCTAATTCTCTATCCCTCTCTCTGCTCTCTGTAAAAAATCAATAAAATATAAAAATTAAAAAATAAAAAGAATTGTAGAGATGCTTAGGTGGGGCATGGCCAAAAAAAAAGCTGGGAACCACTGGTGCAGCAGAAGGAGCACTGGATTTGGAGTCAGAAGGTTGGAGGGCGGTTTAGCATGGGTGTGAAGAGCCTGGATTAGGAGCCAGGGAGCCTGGGTTTGAGTCCATTTAGTATCTGTGTGACCATGTAACTTAGATGGGCTTGTTGGAAGGAATACTGGTAAGTGAGTTAATTACAATGCCTGACCCACAGTAATTAGTGAGTGTTAAGAAGATTTGTCATTGAAATCCTGGCTATATCACTAATTTAGCACCTTGTTAAATTGGCCCCATTTTCACTTGTATTCTTTTGTAAAACGAGGGGCTTGCACAGTTATCCCTGAGAGGCTGCCTTGCAGTCTCTGCAGACAGGAACCGCTTCGGGAGTGTTGTTAATTGGAACGGAACAGGAAGCCAGGCCTGAGCTCCAAGGCATACACATGGCCTTTGGCATTATACCTGGCAGCAAAAAATAATTTGCTGAAGTCACTTAGACCAGTGTTTTCAAACTTTTTGTTTATTGTGATCTACAGGAAATGCATTTTTCATGATAACCCAGTGTGTGTGTGTGTGGTGTGTGTGTGTGTACATATATACGTATGTGAGTAAATGTAATAAAAGTTTCATGCAGCACCATTAGCAGTACTTTTATTATATGTAATGCACTGCAATATTCTCTGTACCCTTCAGTTGTAGCTCTTAAAAAGTAGACATCTTCCTAATGGTTCATGACTCACAGTTTAAAAAACACTGACTTATTATTAATGTTAGTCTTCATCTTCTCCACATGAGCATCTTATAAACCCAGTCTAGTCTAGGCCAACAGCAGGGGATGATTTCAACCAAGGCTGTCTTAGCCCATAACTTAGACATCACCTGGATAAATTCTGATGAGCCTTGAACTTAAGCCCAACACAGAATTCCTGATGCTGATGATAGAGAGCTCTGGCCACTTATGGTCAACCTTCCTGTGTGTTTTGGCTGAGTGACTAGGTATGAGAGGACCTACTACCGTGTTTCCCCGAAAATAAGACATCCTCCGAAAATAAGACCTAGCACAACTTTGGGAGAAAAAAATGTAAGACACTGTCTTATTTTCGGGGAAACAGGGTAGTAAGGGAATTATTTTTCTTAAAATTTTACACTGTGAAGAATATATACCAAAAATGTTAACAATAGTTTCATAGAGGAGATGATTGGTAATTTGACTTTTCTTTGTTTTGTTTTTTCAAATTTATTTCTTTATTTATTTTTTAGAAAGAGAGAGGGAGAGAGAAACATCAACCTGTTGTTCTACTCATTTATGCATTCATTGTTTGCTTCTTGTATTTGCTCTGGCAGGGATTGAAACTGAAACCTTGGCGTATTGGATGATGCTCCAAATCAACTGAGCTACCCAGCCAGGGTTCAAATTTTCTACCATGAAAATATATTTCATATATAATAATTGAAATCTCTTTTCTTTTAAAAATTACATTACTACTAAAAATCCTTACTTGGCAAAATAAAGGGTAAAAATATTTTACTTGGTAAAATAAAAAGTAGTTCATCATTAGGTAACTAAAAAAATTTTATTTAATAGATCAACCGAAGGACTTTTATACATGCACATAAGTACAACCAATGGACATAAAACTCTGGGGATGGAAGGGATGTGTGGGAGGGAGGGAGGGGGGCAAAAAAAAAAAAAATCAAAAAAATATATTAAAAAAAAAAAAACAGACTGAAGAAAGGACCTCTCTTCCACTATTTCGAATACTTAATAGCTAATTTCATAACATCACATGTACCATTTTAAGGAAGTGATGATTTAGTGGGAAATTAGTGCTTTGCATTTGTATACTGTAAATATAAATGGCGATTTGTTTGAAATGTGTAACTTTGATATGCAAAAGATAATAACTCACAATGTGAATATTAAATATTCCTTCAAAATAAAAAAAAATGAAAAAAAATTTTATTATAGTGGGCCATAAACTATTTTCTTCCTTATCACTGACTGATATAAAATTTAAAGTTCTTTCTATGAATGATTATCTGTTCTGTATTATATTAGATAGACCACATGTGTAAATTTCAGTATTTCTCTTTAAGTTGCTTCAAGTAGTTTCTAGTCAGTATTTTATTTTATTTTTTTATTTTTTTTTCATATTTTATTGATTTTTTTCCCCCCTCCCTCCCTCACACATATTCCCTCCTTCCCCAGAGTTTTATGTCCATTGGTTGTACTTATATGCATGTATACAAGTCCTTGGGTTGTCTAGTCAGTATTTTAGAGTACTATAGGGATTTTGTAGCATTTAAAAATCATTTCAAATTACAGTTGTGTTAAAAAACATCCCTCAGATTGAGACTGCTTTATTTCTCATTTACAACTCACATTGGGGTCCCAAGAGCACTAAAATATAGGGTTGAGCTTCTGTAGTCTGCCTCATTCATGCCAACAAAAATAAGGCCCAAAATGTTAACAAATATAATTTAGAAGTAGCTAGCTATGAGCTGTTTAGTGGGCTTACAGGTAATTGCTGCTGTCAGCTTTGTGATGAATGGAGAGTAAGAAGGAGCCCTGGCTGGTTTGACTCAGTGGATAGAGCATCAGACTGAGGACTGAAGGGTCCCGGGTTCTATTCTGATCAAGGGCACACACCCAGGTTGGGGGCTCAATCCCCAGTTAGGGGCGTGCAAGAGGCAGCTGGTCAATGATTATCATCATTGGTGTTTGTCTCTCTCTCTCTCTCCCTTCCTCTCTGAAATCAATAAAAATATATTTAAAAAAAAAAAAAAAAAGGAAAAGTCGTTCGAATCATGACCAGATCAGTCTGAAAGGATAGCCTTGGCGCAGTCATTTTCAGACTTAAAGTATGTGGGGTATTGACCACGTGGCAACCCTCCTCGCACTACTATTCACGACGTTAAAACCATCTTGATGGGCGTGGGAAAAGTCTGCCACCATCATCATATAGTTGCTGCTGCCTTTGAGGTACTGTGGGAATCGATTGCTCTCTGGCATGTCACCACCTCCGTGCCTCAGGAAACAATTTCCTAGCTTGTGAGTCTCCGAGCCTCCCTTTCTCTGCCAGCCAGTGCCTCTGCAATCAGTGGGAAGATGTCTGAGGTAAAGGTGGTAAAATGTACGCCTGTCCAGTTGGGTCATTCCTAGCTCTGTTTTGCTGGGGTTGGAGGCTGAAATGAAGTTTAGAGATTCACTTTGTGTTTTAGGAAGTCATGCTCTGATGTCCTTTCTTGGCAAAGTCATTGGTGTATGGATGTGCCCTATGTCAGTAATCTTTCTCTCCATGAGATTTTTCTTTAAAAAGAAAAAAAAAATGAGAAATATTGTTAATATTTTTCAGTAGCAGTCAGTATCAAGCTAATTCAGGGGTTGGAAAGAACAGAACCAGTGTTTTCACAGATATTAGTATCTAGTGTGACCCTTATGGCCATCCTATGAAGTAAGCACATTAATTGCAGCTTGAAGACTGACCATGGTACACTGCATGGCCCTTCGTACATGCAAACCAACACGGCCTTTCGTAGGGGAGCTTCGGGACAGTACGAGGTATAAAGTGTTCATGGGTGTGTGTGGTTTGTGTTGTAAAAATGCCAGGACAGCCGAAACCCATTTGGCTCAGTGGATAGAGCTTTGGCCTGCGTACTGAAGGGTCCGGGTTCGATTCCGGTCAGGAGCATGTTCCTTGGTTGTGGGCACATCCCCAATGGGGGTGTGCAGGAGGCAGCTGATCGATGTTACTTTCTCATGGATGTTCCTAACTCTCTATCCCTCTCTCTTCTTCTCTGTAAAAAAATCAATAAAACATTTTTTTAAAAAATGCCAGGACACTGCACTTGTGAAGTAAAACTGAGTCATTGTCTGTTGCAGGTTATATGCACCATGGCTATGACTAGTGTCAGATTGCCCACCAGTATTTTAAGAAAACCAGATGCCTGGATTGGACTCTGGGGAGCGCTACGAGGGACACCTTCACACAAACACTGTGCTTCCTGGAATCGATACCTCTATTTTTCTAATACCAAATTAAATGCACCAAGTTATAAAACATTTTTCCATAATATTTTCTCACTGAGACTCCCAGGACTTTTAATAGCTCCAGAATATATTTTCCCATTTTCTATAAGGCTCAAAAGTAAAACAAGCTCTAAAAAATCCACTAAAAAGGGTCTGCAGAAAGCCGAAGCTGAAGAGGACTCTGATGAAGAGAGTGATCATGAGGTGGATGAGCAAGAAGAGGAGCTGGAGGATGACCCCAGTGTGGTCAAAGACTACAAAGACCTGGAGAAAGTAGTGCAGTCTTTTCGGTATGATGTCATCCTGAAGACAGGCCTAGATGTCGGCAGAAAGTAAGTATGATGTGCATTTCATTACAAAATCACTTGTCTTCTTGTTGGTTATTTTAACATGTCAGCATTATCAGTATTGTGAAGAGTAACCATGGATATGAAAAGACCTTAGAGGAAACCTCTTTCAATTCTATAGATGAAAAAATTGATTCCCAAAGAAGTCAAGTGACTGCAAATCCCATGTGCCATATTTCCTTGTTTCTTAAACTCCCATAAGATTGTAAGATGAACCATTAATAACATCTTTGAGGAGAAAAGGAATCACTGTCTTAGATGTATACTGAAAAAAAAAAAATATGTATATTGTAAGCTTAAATGCATGTGGGTTTCACAAATGCTATAGCATGAAAAAATACCTCTTAAGATCAACGGAAGCAGTTTATATAACATGGTGGTTAAGAATGCAGGCTCTGGCCTGGCTGGAGTGACTCAGTGGTTGAGTGTAGATCTGTGAACCAGGAGGTCACAGTTCGATTCCTGGTCAGGGCACAAACTTGGGTTGTGGGCTCGATCCCTAGTGTGGGGCATGCAGTATCCACTGTTACAATCTCTTATTTGTTTCTATCTCTCTCTCCCTCTCCCTTCCTCTCTGAAATTAATAAAAATATATTTGGGTGGGGGGGAATGCAGGCTCTGGCGCTGGCCAATTGCTCAGTAAGAGCATTGGCCTGTGGACTGAAGGGTCTCAGGTTCAGTTCTCAGTTAAGGGCACATACCTCGATTGCAGGTTCCTCAGTCCCATTAGAGGCGAGTGCGAGGCATTCAATTGATGTGTGTCACATTGTATTTCTCTCTCTCCTTCCCCTCCTCCTTCCCTTTTACTCTCTAAAGATCAATGGAAAAAATATCCTTGGGTGAGGATAAAAAAAAAAAAAAAAAAAAAGAATGCAGGCTCTGTAGCCAGACCACTAATGTCTGATTCTATGTATGACCTTGGGCATGAATTCTCTGTGCTTCAGTTTCCTTATCTGTAAAATAAGGATAATAGAACTTGCTCTAGAAGGTAGTGGTAGGATTAAATGAGTATTTCTCTATGCCTCTAAAGCACTTATAGCAGTGCCTGGCACATAGTAGGTACTCAATATATGTTACCTGTAATGATAAAAATACTGTGTGTTCACAATTGTATATGTACACAGATAATAATTTAATTTAAAAAATACTGTGTTCATATATAGTGCACAGATAGTAAGTATAACTATCAAGATTTATTATTCTCTCTTAGACTATCATTATATAAGGATAGTGACCCTCATTATTCATTCATTCCTATAATAATCATTGTGTATATATTGCACTCAAGATAAGAATTGTGGTATGAATTATAAATTCAAAAAGATTTCCTTATGTAATTTGTGCCTTTATGACCTAACCTAATGGCATAGTTTAATTTTTTCAATCTATGGAGCGTAAGGACTCATAAAAGTGGGTCCATATGCAACCTGATTAGAATTTGTTGAATGTTCTCTAAAATCTGACAAACTCATAAGGGGTCCACTCCTCTCCAGGGGTAGTAGCTGCTGCTGCTGTCATTAAGCAGAACCCCGGATGTCAGTCACTTGGAATCAGAGCATCATGAAGAAAGAGCATTGACTTTGTCTGCATCCTTCCCTGGTCTAGTTGCTCCAGTGATTAAATTCAGACAGATCAGCAGCTGCTGGGATTGGAGTTTCCCCAGTCCTCAGTGCAGACCAGTGAGGGTTTCTTTTTCTTTTCTTTTCTTTTTTTTTTTTTTTTTAATATATTCTATTGATTTTTTTTTTTACAGTGAGGAAGAGAGAGGGATAGAGAGTTAGAAACATCGATGAGAGAGAATCACCAATCAGCTGCCTCCTGCACACCCCCTACTGGGGTTTCTTAATGGCCTCAGCATACGTGAGGTGCCTGGTTTTTCTGTCAGAGCACAGAGCAGTATATGAGGGGGAGGGAGTGCTCATTCTTGGTTGAGAATCACAGGAGCTGCCACCTTGAAGGGAGCTGCTGCACAGGGGGTCAGGCGGAGAATGGGCCCCTTTCTGAGACGGCTGGTGCACGTGCGAGCCCTCTTGGAAAAGACCAGCCAGCTGCCGATTGCCTGCTTGATGGTATAGCAAATCTTTGCAGCAGGACAGCATCTATTTAGGAGTTCCCTTTGGTCTCCCTGTTTTAGATACATGAGGGAGCAGTTGACTTTCACGATCCCAGCATCCAGGCTAAAGATTTTGTGGGGAAATAAGTCACTGTCAGAATAAGCATTAATGGCAGGTGTGTTTCTCAAACTTGTGTAATGGTTTTGAATATATCTCTATTTTAAAGCACTTTGATTTTTTTTTTTTTTTTTTCCCAAGCAAAGTGGAAGATGCATTCTACAAAGGTGAACTCAGGCTGAACGGGGAAAAATTATGGAAGAAAAGCAGAACGGTGAGCTATTAAGACCGCCAGAGCTTTTGAGCTGTTGCTTTGCAAGTACTCAATTAATGCCCCTAACTTCCCCTCGGGCTCCTTACTTGAGGCCTCCTTGTGTCTGTCTGACCATTTCTCAGGTCTCCCTGGGGCCTGGGCACACTAGTGAGAATCACCAGCTGGCTTCAGTCGCACAGATCACTTGCTCTTTTGCAGCCATAATGACTTTGAGGGGAAGCTTCCCCTTTTTTTTTCTTTAAAATTTTAAGATGACAATCAGAACTGGCAAAAATCTGTTATTTAAACTTCACAGTGATCATAGTCGGGCTAAAAAGAAACATTGATCTATGGCAAGGTTTTTTGTTCCGCTGTTACCTGAGCAGATGTGTAATTCTGTTCCGGCGGAGGCCACCCCTCCCCCCAGCACCTGCTGGGTACCCTGCTCTGTGCGGGCTGTCACACAGGAGGGGTCATGTCCTCTTGACAGCTCCACGTCAACACGACTGGAAGCAAAAGAAGTCCCTTAGAAAATGTAGTTCCAGTATCCAGTTACAGTGAATTGTATTTGTTAATTCTGTTAAATATATGTATTTTTGTAAAAGTAAATTACATAAATATATGCATCTAGAATTAAAATATTAATGTTACTAGTATTCTTTTTTTTTATAAGCCTGATGACATCTTATATTTCTTTTTTTTTCTTTTTTTATTTTATTGATTTTGTACAGAGAGGAAGGGAGAGAGATAGTCAGAAACATCAATGAAAGAGAGTCATCAATCAGCTGCCTCTTGCACACCCCCTACTGGGATATGCCCACAACATGCCCTTGACCGGAATCAAACCCAGGTCCCTTCAGTCCCCAAGCCGACACTCTGTCCATTGAGCCAAACTGGTTTCGGCTACTAGAATTCTTTGAATGGGGCATTATGGATTATATTTTCTTCATGCTTCTTATTTTCTGAATTTCTTATAAGTATGTGTCCCTTTCATAATTGGGAAATACAACCATGAAAGTAAAAGTCAACAAAACAAAAATATGAATGACAAAGACCCTTAAAAAGTTAGGAAGACAGACCTCCGAGGCATTGGCAGACACGGGGAAGTGTTCTTTATTCCTTGCAAGGCCCTGTCCTTCCTAACATGGGAGACACAAAGCAAACTGGGATTAGGGACAGTTCCAAATATCTACATTTCAAATCTCCCCTTAGCTGCAGTTACTATGGCTACCAGGTCTCCTAGTAACAAGGCGGTAGAATGTTAATACTGGCCCCTTCCTTTGCTGACCCTCAGGAGAAATCTGGAAGGCAGCCGAGATACAGAACACCCAAGGCAGAATAAAGCAGCAGCAATTAGGCTGTAATTAACAATGTCTGATAGCAGAGGGGGAATAATATCCTTGGGGTGTTTGTAAATGAGACCCCAGCACAGACACCGTGCACCAAGGGGTCTTGCCTTTGGGACATTGCGGCTGGTGAGAAGGGGGCTGGACTACAACCCCGAAAAAGCAATTAATGGTGGGGAAGGACCCGATCTCTAGAAGTGTGGCCGTAGTGCCCGATTTCCTGCGGCTCACAGAGCAAGGACTGACACCCAGGCTGCTAGTCGGGTGCCATCAGAGGGAGAGTGGGCCTTGTGACTGGGCAGCTGACCCGAGCGCTGAGGAGTCCCCTTATCCTGTGCACGCTGGTCCGAAAGGGCTCTGAAGAAAGTGAAATATGAGAGAAGCTAAAATAAAAACCTCCAAAAGTGTGTCTGACTTGCCCGGAACGCCTGATGCTGCAGCTGAAATCGTGGCTGCCTGCAGCTGAGCAAAGCCGTTCGCGAGCTGCAAACCAGTTGGGACCCGAGTGCTGTAGGTGCTGCGTAACTTGATTCAGACAGGAGTGTGCGGTGGGGATTGAAGCCTGCCTGAATCCTCCTCTCTCTGGGACCGCCGGGGAGAGGACGGTTCCTCCCGCTTTTCAGGTACCTGTGAGCCTGCTCTTCTCTTTCATAAGACGCCACCCACAGTATGTGCATGAGAAGGTACACAAGAAGGCGTGCCCCTCCTCTGTGTCCTTTTGTACCTTTTAAATTTCATGTCATGTGCCTACATTACTTAATTAAAATGAGTTTTAGTGAAACAGATCCCCGAGCCTTGTATTTTTGGACATTAGGTGTCCACACAGTTGGAGCTGTGTGGTTATTTTATTTTTATTTTTTTTATTAAACCCAGTAGAACTACAGGAGGATCCCCTACCCCAGGTGATTCCTAGATCAGTCTATTCTTCATACCCTTGGGGAGAAGCAGTCTTGCTGGCTGTGGTGTGAGCCTTTCTGGTTCTCAGCCCAAAGCAGAGAGAGTTAATGATCTAAAACAGGCCCCTGTCTGGGTTTTTCACCCGCCTGCTCTGGGCTGTCTGGATTGACCAGGGTGGCATCATGGTGAGCAGGTGTGCGGTCCCATGTTGTGGACGGAGTATTGTGCCTACAAAAGCCTTGTGTGGGTGGGAGAACAGATGTTCCAGAAGCATGAAATTATGACTGCCTCAGAGAGCAGTCACTGGGAAATAAGGTAAAAGCCAGCATCTGGCGCCATGCCTCTTAAACAGAAGCCTTCTTGTAGGATTTTAAGTGGTCATGAGGGTCCAGTTGAAGTCCATGGCCCACCCATGAGGTTCCCCTTCCCCTTGGAAGAATGGTGAGCCGTCTGAGATGGCAGTGCTCGTCCCTGCTTGTGTTCTAGTGGAAGCAGCACATGGCACGTGGGTCAGTTAGCCCCTTCCCTGGTTGCTGGGCACATCCCCTTGGATCCGGCATTGCTAAGACCAGGTGTGCATCCTGGGCTCGCAGCCCCCTGGCAACAATGACTGAATGCCCTAGGCATGCCCTGTATTAGCGCAACCCAAAGCTCCATCTGGGCAGGATTGGGTTTCACCTCAGCCCTTTGAACCTACTGAATCAGCATCCAGCTTGACCCTCTTTTCATTCATCTAAGTATAGTTGGTATATAATATTAGTTTTAGGTATACAATGTAGTGATTTGACATCTTTATACCTTAAAGTGTGTCACTTCACTAATTTTAGTAATCATCTATCACCATGCCAGTTTATCACAGTATTATTGACCGTATTCCCCTTCACCTTTTCACCTGTCCACATTCCCTGCAGGCCCTCCCGCCCCCCCACCTTCTGGTAACCATCCCTTTGGTTTCTGTTTTGTTTTGTTTTTTTCTTCTTTTTTTAATATATATTTTATTGATTTTTTACAGAGAGGAAGAGAGAGGGATAGAGAGTTAGACACATCGATGAGAGAGAATCATCAATCAGTTGCCTCCTGCACACCCCCCACTGGGGATGCACCCGCAACCAAAGTACATGCCCCTGACCGGAATTGAACCTGGGACCTTTCAGTCCACAGGCCATTGCTCTACCCACTGAACCAAACCGGTTTCAGCTGGTCTCTGTTTCTTGTTTCTTCTATGATGGGGCATCACTGGGGCCAGACAGAGAAAAGCAGATACAGCTTTTTCCATTTCTCCAAGAGATACAGCTGAGCACTGTTCCATAGTGACTCCCGGCAAACTGCCTGGTGCACGACCATGAAACTCATCTGGATTGAAACCGTGAAAAGTGTTACACTGGAAACTGTCTTCTCAGTGCATGTAGTAATCACTAGGCACATAATCTCTAAGACTGCGCCCCCCCAAAAAAAAGATGTGTCCTTAAATCATCCAACAGAGCTAAGTATTTGAGAGGTGAGACACACCACTCAGGGACTGTCCACAAGCTGCCAGTTGTCTAGGCCTGAAGGCAGCACACTGGCTGGTATTGAGGTGCCCGTGTTTTGAGGCAGCGGCCCTAGGAACCGAGTGGCTGTTACAGGGGACTCAGGACCTTTTCTCACCTGCCCCGGGTGATCACCTGGTGAAAACTCAGAGCAGAGATGTTTGCATTGGCCTGCATTTCCCAAGATGTAATAAAGGCTCTGTTGTCTCTTAACTTTCAGGTGAAAGTGGGAGATACGTTGGATCTCCTAATTGGAGAAGATAAGGAAACGGAAACAGTGGTAGTGATGAGGATTCTCCTGAAAAAAGTGTTTGAAGAGAAGACGGAAAGTGAAAAATACAGAGTGGTCTTACGACGGTGGAAAAAGTTAAAATTGCCTAAACAGAGTGTGATGAAATAAATGGATTGCTTTTTAACGATGAAGTGTTTTCTACTGGTGGGGGAAGGAGCTAGCTCAAAAAGCTGACATTTTTATTAAAGTTCTCATCATTTGAGGAATCTGCTGAACCATGTTGTAGCAATCAGGATCCATATCTTGGAGACACGGCCGCAGCCTGGATTTCTGTCCTGGGCTTGATTTGTGCTTAATCTGAGCTCAGGAGCATGAGTGAGATAGATGTATGCAGGAGGAACTAAGCCCAGAAAGGGCTGTAACACCCAACCTGCTGTTTCCCACATTCACTGCCTGGGAGGCAGGGGAACATAACCTGGCTTTGTTGTTAGTGTTTTTATTTCAGTTTTATCCCTGATGGCCAGCTTCCCTGAGTCTAGGCTTCTGAAGGCAAAACCAAGCCCAGGGTAGGTACCCTTCGTAGCCTTAAGGGAGCACTGGGAGACCTCATTTTCCTCAGCCTTTCTGCATTACCAACATGCTGACTTTGTTCCCCTTCAATTTCTCTTCAGAAGTCTGGATGAGTAAAATCCTAATAAATGCCAAATAGGCTGGTTAGGGTCCATTTAAAATTAATTGTTGAGGGCAGGTGTTATATAAACTAAGGCAACCAGAGGCCTTTTGCATGGCAGTCAATGTTTTTACATTTTTAAAGGGTTTGAAAAATACAAAGGATGCCCCAGCCACTTTGGCTCAGTGGATAGAGCCTTAGCCTGAGGACTGAAGGGTCCTGGGTTCGATTCCAGTGAAGGGCACGTACCTCGGTTGCATACTGAATCCCCAGCCCTGATTGGGGTGCCCACATACAGGAGGAAACCAATCTTACACCGATGTTTCTCTCTCTCTCCCTCACTTTCACTCCTTTCTGGGGATCGAGCCCACAACCCAGGCATGGGCCCCTCAGTCCGCAGGCTGATGCTCTATCTACTGTGCCAAACCAGCTAGGGCCGAACAGCTTTTTGAAACTATTGGTAATTAGTATCTAGCTGGCTATTTGGCAGACTTGGACCCATTCCAAACTTTTCTGTTTTTAAAACTCTAAGAAGATATCTGATAATGGAAAATGTTGGTTTGGTCACAGCTTGTGGCAAAAACTGATCATAAACAAAAGCATTTCATAAAGATTTATGAACTCTTTGTACACACTTATTCCTATTGGGCACAAATGACAGCTGCTTTACGATGTCCCGGCAAAGCCTCCTCAGATAAGATTTGGATATTTCTAATGCAGTGGTTCTCAACTGGGGCTGATTTTGCCACTGGGTACATTTGACAGTGTCTGGGTATTCTTTTGGTTTGGGGATGGCATGGGCATGGAGTGGGTAGAGGCCCAGGATGCTGCTAAACATCCTATGGTGCACAGACAGCCCCCACAACTAAGAGTTATCTGAGCCAGAAAGTCCATGGTGATGAGATTGAGACCCTCCTCTGATGACAGGACAAGGAAGAAATTTTTTAATGGTTCTTGTTTTTCCGGAGAAGTATGGAAATGCTGCTAGTGTATGTTTGCAGTTTTTTGTTTGTTTTTTTATGTATTTTTTACAGAGAGGAATAGAGAGGATAGAGAGTTAGGAACATCCATGAGAATCATCAATCAGCTGCCTCCTGCACACCCCCTACTGGGGATGTGTCCACAACCAACATACATGCCCTTGACCAGAATCGAACCTGGGACCTTTCAGTTCACAGGCTGACACTCTATCCACTGAGCCACAATGGTTTCGGCTGTTTGCAGTTTTTAAAGGATGAACATTTTAAAGTTATGACTTGGCATGTTGTAGCAGATGCAAGGGAGAACGATCAGCCTGCACTCTGAGGGAGGGAAGTTTAACCTTTATTTTGCAGATCTGCTTAGTCCAGGGAAATTCAGATACAAAGCCTGAACTCAACTCCTGGGGAGGCTCAGACCTATACATCTATGGCGAGCCCCTGAGGGTCCCCAAAGCTCCACCCAAGCCAGTCGGAGTGGGGATGCAAGACTGCAGTTTTAACCAGATACAAACTAGGTTGCAGGCCTCCCCGCCCCATTTTCCTTTTCAGATAGAGGCCTATCTAGCCCCTTTACCAGCAATAGTTAATCCTTTCAAAGAAATAGCTTTTTTTCCTAGGAAATATGGTGCTAATTGCATTTCTCAGCCAACAAAAAAAAAAAGTAGACATTTGGGGGATTATTTGTGGTTTATTTGGTCAATAATGATTGGGGAGATAGAAACTACCATTTTTCAAGAAATGAAGAAGAAAATAGGTTTCAGTTGGGTGATAATGCCTGGTCCATGAGCTTCAAAGGGTATGCCGTGTGTATCATGACTTCCACTGAAGTTCTGCCTTATCTGGGACATAGAGATTTTGGCCTTAAAACAGTTACTGTTAGGATACTGACGAGCAGGGAGCAGCAGAGGAAATGGTAGACTCAGGAGCAGCATAGGTGTGTCTCCCAAACTTTCTTTGAAAATCAGCCTTGACCGACCGGAGTAAAACCCCTGGACTGGGCGAAATTCGCTCTCTTCCGTCATGCTGCCGGCGTGAGTGGGACAGAGCCCATGCTAGCATGGAAAAGGCTCTTGTTTATTGCATCGGACTCAGCTCCCTGGTGGTCCTTGGGGATCACGAAGTCTGGGGGTAATACTGGCCACTGGCCTCTGCATGCCCTGTCTCTGTCAATGGGTCTCTGCTCCTTTGGCCTCACAGCCAGAGCCAGAATGTCATCCTGATGCCCCTTATTCCTTCCCAGCAAAATAACACCGACAACAAACTGTCACCCATTATGTCATTCTTTTTTTTTTTTTTTTTTTTTTTTTAATATATCTTATTGATTTTATACAGAAGGAAGGGAGAGGGACAGAGAGTTAGAAACATCGATGAGTCATCGATCAACTGCCTCTTGCACACCCCCTACTGGGGATATGCCCGCAACCAAGGTACATGCCCTCGACCGGAATCGAACCCGGGACCCTTCAGTCCCCAAGCCAACGCTCTATCCATTGAGCCAAACCGGTCTTGGCCTATGTCATTCTGTCTTGATAGTCTCTTAAACCTCTTCTGACCTCTTCTCTCTAAAGCTTTGTAAATTCCTCTTCATCTACCTAATGTCCTTTGACACTTTAAACTCTTGCAAGTCCCTTTTTCCTGAACAGAAATACACCTCACGCTGCACCCCAAAAAAAAAAAAGAAAGAAAGAAAATCAGCCTTGAAGGCAGCGGTAGCAGGGTAGTCTCACCTTGGAAATCGGTAAACACCATGAATCAGAGTTTATTTTCCCTGGAGAGCCATTTACCAACACACCTGTGTTGCATGGAATGGGGACGCACGCCCACACGTTTTCCCAGGAGGACAAGCCCTCACACCGGTACTCGCCCTCTTCCAGATTATTTTTCCTCCTCTTGGTTTCACGTATTTCACAGGTGCTCCCTGACTTTAGCCAACTATTCTAAAAAATGTATGCGTTCTTGTAAAACGTGTTTTGCTGTTCTTTACACATTTGCATTTCACAAATGCCATTACTATATATTTCATTTTGAATCTTTTTTCACTCAGAATGGTTTTTAAGATCCATCCATAGCACTCACTATAGGCACATCTAATCCAGTGTTTCTGCTGCATAATAAATCCCAGTGTGCATCCACCACATTTTGCCTACCCCCTTTTTCTTTTTAATATGTTTTCATTAAATTTTTACAGAGAAGAAGAGAAAGGGTAAGGGATAGAGAATTAGTAATAATGATTCAGCTGCCTCCTACACACTCCCCACTGGGGATGTACCCACAACCAAGGTACATGCCCTTGACTGGAATCGAACCTGGGACCCCCTTAGTCCGCAGACCCACGCTCCATCCACTGAGCCAAACTGGCTAGGGCTCTTTTTTTTTTTTTTTTTTTTTTTTTTAGAGAGAGAGAGAAGGAGGTAAGGAGAGAATGAGAGAAACATCAATTTGTTCCACTTATTTATGTATTCATTAATTGCTCCTTGTATGTGCCCTGAACAGGGATCAAACCTGCAACCTGATGATGCAATAACCAACTGAGCTACCCGGAAAGGCCTTGCCTCTCCTCTCCCAGACTCCACCAACTCCCCTCTCCACAATAACAGTGCTTGCTTCCTCTCCACCATGGCTGCACCAGGCTGCTCTCCCACCAGCAACACACAAAGTACCTGCAGGCCCATAGCCTCAGCCAGCCCCTGGCACGGTGACCCAGCTTTTGGACTTCAGCCAGTCTAATATAGTCTAAAGAGGTGTAGTTGTAACATATTTCTTAAGTTTTCCTTTCCTGTAATGCAAGTGGAGCAGGCAGTTAAACAGCATGAGCAGAGCAGAACCCTGGGCCAGGTGCAGAGGGTCACCAGGGCGGAAAGCCCCAGGTGCCTAGCAACAGGCAAAACTACTGGCGCTTGCCTGACCACTCCCTTAAGCATTAACTCCTGGAAGGTGACATCTAGGCTTCAGTTGTTTCAGCTCCAGGCCCAGAGAAGCAGCAGTCAGAAGAAGAAAATTACTCACCATATCAGGACCTGCTACTTTGACCAATGACTTCCTGGCACTAACCAATCAGTGGAGACACTCCTCACCCACCCACCCAGGAGACACTGGGGAAACAAGCTCTATTGAGATCCTGCCCTGAGGTCTTCAGATAAAAGCTCTCTAAGGAGCATCCAGCTCCCTTCCCCACCCCCTGCTTTCCCCAGGGCATGCTCTCTTCCCTGGAGTATGCCCTCATGCCTCTCCTCCCTTTTTCCTAAGATGCATATCTCTCCTCCTCCTCCTACTAAGCTCCAAGGGCCCTTTTACTACTTCAGTCACTTTCTAAACTTCCCCTTAAGATTTAAGTTCCTTGGCTCTGAATTCTTTCAAGCCGAACTCAAGGACGAGGTTGCCGCCCAGTGCCCAGTGCCTATTTCCCACCGCCTACACAAGCTCCCACAGCCTGCCCATCTATAGCGTGGACTTACACAGAGGGCTCTGAGACAGCCTCTCCTGCTGCTCTCAAAGCCATGCTTGCTGGCTCTTTCATC